TTTGGAAGGCAGAAAAGGAGAATCTTTTCACCAGCTGGGAGGAAAAAGCCAAAGCCAAAAGGAGAGAGAACCCGGGCAAGAGGATTCCGGCAACTGTTCTGTTTTTCCACCTCCCGGTGACCAGTGTTTTCTGAGTGCGAGAAGACTTTGAAGCTGTTCGGTTAATCACCGTTCAGTTAAGGCCTGCCGTGCTCATCTCTCTCCGTTCTAGCATCTCCTCTGCCAGCCTCGGCCGGTGGAGGCAGCAGCCTCCTGTCTGCAGAAGGGTCTGCGTGACCAGGCTGTTTCAGGCAAATGCCAGCCGGAGAGAAAACGCCTCAGATGGAGGTCAGGGGCAGGTGCACGGCTGAGATTACAGATGGGCCGGAACCAGACTTAGGGAGACACTTGATCTGCTCAGATTAACAAACCCCGTGCTGCAGCCCCAGGGGCGGAGGGTCTCCTCCCAGGAATTCAGACCCCTTCATTCAGCTCGCTAGCTAAACTCAGCAGCCCTCGACCTGGAAGGGTTACCCATTTCTGCTGCGGCCAGGCACATGGCCGTCCTCTGACGGCCTGTGCTAGCGCGGTGGGCCCGCACATTCTCGACAGTCGCTTGAACTGGGCCGTGGATTCCTTCTCCAGGCTAGCTGATGATGCAGCAGAGAATGTGGAGGGGAGAAAAGATGAACAGTGCCCCGGGAAGGGGACTAAGAAAGGGGTAAAAGTGGGGACTAGAAGGGCAAGAGGGAATCCCAGAAGATAAATCTGGCTTTAGCGGGAGCTCTGTTTAAAATTCCGGGAAATCATGGCGGAACTTCCAGGCACTCTGGGAGCATCTGGGCACCGTAACCTGCATTTAAGGGGAGTGGTGGGTCTCATGTTAGCGCAGAGCCTCAATTTCCCAGGGTGCATTCTCCTCTTGAACTCTAATGGAGACAGCAACGTAAGCCAGAGTATTCAGCAACCGGCTCTCGCCTGGGGGAGGAGAAACTTGTCTTCAGCTGGCCGCCGTCCTTGGCCAGTGTGAGACTCGGGGCCTCTCCCTGAACTGAGATCCAAGATTTAGGACTTGAGCTATAAAACGACATTTCCTAGGTTGTAAATCTTTCATTTTGGTTGAAGCCCCTGAGGCACGTGTACAAAAACTCCCCTGTACCTATGGAATTGAGACCGTAGAGACCCTCCAGGGAGAGGTGACCTTGAGGGTACCTAAGCTGCGAGCCCCAGGGTGGCCCTCCACCGCTATGCCTATTAAAAATGCTGTTCCTGACGCTGCCTCTGCTGCCACCAGAGTTTTGAATATGGCCACGGAGTTGCCCCTGAATCTCTTTGTCCCTGAATCTCCCCTTATTTGTGCGTGCTGGTCTTTATAGCTCTAACACGGACGGGCTTTGTGATTCCTGTCTCCAAATCTTCTCTTCTGTTCCTTCCCTACTGTTTGCGTCTCCCACTACCTTCCAGTGTTTTCCGTGATCCCCCAACACCTTCCTTTCCCTTTGTTGTGCTCAAACCTTCCCGCACGTTAACAGGCACCACTACCTTCTGTGCACGCTGACCACCCCCCCCCACCCCGTTACTTTGCAGTGTGCCTACCCTAAAATAAGCTCATAGAATAAAAATAGGCCGTGTCCACATGCAAAGCCAGGAGAGCGGCCCCCCCCAATTCTACCTTGCAGTGGGGGGGTCTGCTGGCAGGCGGGGGCTGTGGCGCCAGCTCCTCTTGGATCTTGGATGCCCTGCCTTTACTGGCTGAGCGTTGTCAACAGGTGACAGGGGCCCTGCACTGCAGACTCTTGGCCTTGGGAGAACTAAGTCACTAGGCTGTTTATTCTGGCTTCTCTGCTATGAGAATCGACTGGGCACCAGCACCAGGATAGGTACCAGGGGTTCGG